ATTCTTTTTATTAGAAGCATCCAATCTTACAGAAATTTTCAGCCAAAGGAAGGCATAAAAATTCAACCTAAGAGATCAGGATTTATGAAATGGATAAAATTTGTGGAAAAAAACATGGATCAAAATTTATGAAATGAAGATTGTAGAAAATCCATCAATAAATTCCATCTTTACAACTTTAGAACTTTAGAACTTTTAAAATCACTGTTCTTGAAAGTGCTTATGTATGAGAATTCTCTTAGATGCCTGAGTGACATGTTAATGATTTATGTTTATGAGTGTCCACATGACCAAGTTAGAATAATTTCAGTGTTTCATAAATAAAAATATTTAAATCAATTATTTCTATACAATTTAAAGTTTAGATTCACATTACCAATTTGAGGTCAAGGATGTTTATAATCAAAATCAATTATTTGCTTACAAAAATTATGCTTATTGAGATGATGTTTTACCTCCAGATCCTCATATGGAAAAGGAATATATCCTTATAAATTTTGGGACATTTCTTATAAGATTCTCCTGAGACAAATATAAGTGTATAATAATTCCTATTATTATAGGAATTATATTTCCTATATAGGAATTAGGATAAAATATTATCCTAATAATATTTTCTTTCAGTTGAAAAAACAATAAAAATATTCTTCTTGTTTTTAAATATAAACAGTGCAACTAAAACCCCAGATATTTATGATTCTGACTCCAATATGGCCATAAATAACAGTACTAAACGAATCTCTTCATACATTGTAGCTTTTACTTCTTTTACAGACCCATTGAACCAAGGTTCTTTCCAGAGCTTCCAGCTTAAATTGATGTAAATGCTTTGCTGCTAAGAATTCGTTCTGGTCACTTTCATTAAATGTTCAATTTTTTTCTCCATGCCTCCTTAAGATGTATTTGCTGTTAAGTAATACAATATGGTAAGGACTTTGAAATAAGTTTTCTACCCAGACACACAATGTTAGGTGGATCGACACATACCCTATGACGTATATTATACATCATAAAATTTCCATCATAACCTGTTTAACAAAGCTTTTCTTCTTGGATACCAAGAATTTCATTCAAAGCGTTTTACATATTGCATTACTTATCAAAACAGAGGGTATGTAAACCTTGACATTTGTTAAAATAGCCAGGCTTTAACCCAAAAAGACCAGAACAAATCCATAGCAGAAAACAGATTAAAAAACAGAAAATGACTGCTTGAAAATAGGAGCATGTTCGCCAAACCCAAGACAATCTTTCAGCACGTACTCAAAAGAAATGATTATTTGGTATATGCAAGCATCTGGATATATCTCCAAATATATGGAAGTTTCACGAATTCAAAAGTTACAATTCAATTAAAATATAGTGAATTATTATTACAGCTTCAGTATTCCAAAGTCTGGTTTAGGATAAAATAAATTAATTTGCTTTTCTTGGCTAAGAATTATTTTCCCATATGAGTTGGTATTAGAATAACTGTAGATCATGTTGAATTATACTTAATACACTTGCCAGATTCTATTTAATCGTAGTATCAATAATGATAAATATTATTATTATTATTATTATTATGATTGTCAAAAATATCAGTACTACATAAATTAAAACCAGTGTAATGCTTCTAATTTATACCTACATCCAAGGTCAAGAAAAATGAATTTTCTATTGTCTCTGAGTAAGACCAATTACAAATATACTCATATAACATAAAATAGTATGTAATAATAGTGCTTATGATTATTCATAAAATGCAATTTACTTATGCAAATGTATTATGTGTATATTTACATTTATACTCATATCAATGAAATATGTGCTTATAGATAGCATTATAAATAATAGAAAGATATGCTAGTAAATTCATTCTTTCATTTTGTCAGTCAAAACTTTCTGATTATAGTTTTTTTTTCATATTTGCTGATACTTTAACTACTCATTTTTAAGAAGCACTTCACATTTTATGGGTAAAAAAATGTGATAACTGCAAATCCAAGCTTGATGTAGCAGCTGTTCACAGTGTCTTGTAACAGAAATATTAAACATCATTAGTAATACTGTAAGGTAGAGATGTTAGCAATTTTAGCTCTCAGGAGAAAAAAAAATAGAAAGCATAGAAAGCACATTCTGAAAATGTTCTATGAAATATATACCTGAATTGCAACCTAGCCTTGCATACCCTTTTGCTTTTGTATACCCTTGTTTTATTTTCCATACATGGAATAAACCTTCTATAATTTTCTACATTTTTTTAAATGAAAAAAAAGTCCTAACATGGTAAAATTGCTCATTTTCATGTGTAATGTTAAAACCATTAAAACTGATTTTAATTTTAGATTAGTTGCACGTTCCCTACAAGTTTTATTTGATTGAAAGTGCTGAAGGAGTGTGTTAAGAAAGAATACACAGTAGACTATACTTTGACTAAGTTTGTCCGGACTGCTATTATATGGTAAATTTAAGATGAACACTAGAAAGTCTATCCAGCACTTTAGAATAAATAAAGTGAGCCATAGCTGTCAGACTTACGGATCATCCTCTCTGAACTGCAAATCCGGAATTCAAGAGAGCAGGGAGTCTACACTTCTAGATTATCTGGGAAATTGCAAAAATGCTTTTTGTATTTTTGAGATTTACAAATTTACCAATTTGTGTCTACAGATCCTGAGTGATGGTTCTCACAGACAAATAGAACATCATTTTGTTAAACACCTTATAGATGCTCAAGGTTAAAAAGTTACTGCACTTTGCTTATGAAATATAGGCATATCCTCTAAATTATGCATAAATCAATTACAGTTAACAAAATACAAATAATAAATCTGTGACCATGAAGTTTAGACAAGCATAGTTCGTGATGTAACAGACATAGCTTTCATTCTGCCAAAATACAAAGATATACCCCTAATTTATAAAGGTTTCCCACTAGTTTCTTACAACAAATTACATCAAAACTTTCTTTTAAAAAATGAGTTATAAACATTTCATAGTGAAGGAAGTACAATATAGTCCGTCCAAAAACAGTTATAAGTATAAAGCAAAAAGCCCTACATTTACAGATTAGAAGTCCATCATTAAAATAAAAGTTAGCAATACAAAGAGTTTTAAGAACAAGTGAAGTTATTAGTTGAGAAAGAATCTGGCATAGGCAATTCTAACTAGGCAATTAGAAGGCAGTTGACTTCCCATTTTGCTATGTTGGCACTATCCCTTTTAAGCTATCTTTCAAATTTATAGTTATTTTTGTTGTGATATTTACATTTATTCTATTTTAAAATTAATGTAATAAAAATATGCCTTTCATCAAAGTACAGAAATAACTAGTGTGTCTAACTTACATCTATCACTAGTATAAGCTTGAAGATAAGTAAGTCCCATTATTATATTATCCCCAAACTTCTTTTCTGTTTTAAATATACAATAGCCACTTCCCTTTTTTTTTTTAACAAAGGATGTATTCCATATTCTATTTAACAATAGCTGCAATTTAAAAAAAAAAAAGCTTTAATTTTATTTTAAAAGGAGGCAATCTTCTTAACAGTATTACCATATTAGGATTTACAGGATTTATTTACTTACTTTCACTAAACTAGATACTGCATTTACTGGAGGATCCCCGCCTTCGGTGAAGATGTTAGGGCTCCCAGTCAAAATAATTAATGAAAAGTGGACCATTAAAATAAATTAAGTAAAAGCAAGAAAACTGGGTCACCTATAAGGACACATTAGCATTTTAGACCTTTATCAGATAGACGTGGAGTTAACTATCTATTTGAAGGAAAAAAAAAAAAAAAGAGATTTTTGTAGAGCCATTAAAAAAAAAAACAGGGATTACATTGGAAACACTTGAAAGCTCTTAATAGCAAAAATAAAAGACTAGTTAGTATGGCACAAGGGCAATATTCAGTAACTTTAAAAAGAGGGAGCAGTAGGTTGAGCTCCTGATATTTAGAGCACTATGGAAACACTATGGGAAAGCATCTATGAGAAAATACAGAAGGTCATACTCATCAAGATTTTTTTTTGTTAGTGAAAAGAGTTATATTCAGTCATATTATTTAAGATATCCGTTTTAATTTTGAGGGCCTACTTATTGTGAAAAAAAAGTGAATTGTCTATTAAAAAGTACCAAAAAGTTAAAATATCAGGATTTTTTATCAAAAATGCCTAATTTATAATGTTTGCCTATGATAAATAGTAAAATATATTTATAAAATGTTTTATAAACTTAGATACCATAGTAATATACATGTCTGTACCTACATATTCATATATAAAATATCTGCATCTGTGTATCTAGCAAATTGCTATATTGTGAACACCACACCATGTCATTCTCTTGCTGAGTTTAAGTCATCTCCCACAGATGCTTACATTATTATATATAACTAAGACAGATAATTCTATATGTAAAATTGTGGTTTGTTTAAAACAATTATCATGGTCAGCAACAAATATCAACTTTGGTCAGCATTACTGGTTATTCTGTCCATTAAAACACTTGTCTTAAATATCTTGTAGAAACTATTAGTAAATTACTCATCTGTTTCTATCTGTGAGAACTAATGTGGTTATTTCATGTATTTCTACGTGCTCTCAAACTTGCTTTGGCACTGTTCAGCTTTCATCAAAGTTCAACATAGTCGCTTCCAAAGAGAAGGCAATAACTGATTAAAGAGACAAACTATGTGAACTTGTTTTCCATGCACTTGAAAGACTTCTTGACATTACTATTTCTCTGAAAAAAGTGCTGTGTATCCTCACGCGTGTTGGAAATATTTCAAAATGGACAGGTAGTGACACTTTTTTTTTTTTTTTTTTGGCTGATTATGTCCAAAAAAACCCTTTGTTTTAAAATATACTACCTTGTATTACTTTTAAAAAGAGTGAGAAAAAGCATAATTATAAAATACATATTATGGCATATTAAACATATTAATAGCTTGTCGTTATATTAAAAATAATGCAAATATTTTAAAAGTTCATGTTTGTTCATTGTTCTATAGAAAAGAGCATTTCTACTCCAGAAAAATCACATTTGGGGCCGTCTTGTAAGGAACGGATATCGTTTCGAGACCATCCACTGCAGCTCAGCGGAGGATGGGGATCAGGAAAAAAAAGGCAAAAGTTTAAAAATATTAGTTGAAAGTTGGAGAATATTTAACTGGTCAAGTTAATTGAATTTTTGGTTTCCAAAGCATGTGGAGAGCTGTTTCCTTTTAAGTCTGTGAATATGAGTTATTTTAGGATTCTAGTTTGTTATCTGTATATCTAATTTCAGTTAACTACATTTGACTTATTTTGTTAAACATGGGTTGCAGTGGGCTTTTTTTTCTTTTCTTTGGTGTAAATATTTTGTATCTGTCAGTAAGTTATCATCGTTTCTGTTTTGAATTGCTTGTGCATTCATGTGGCATGGAATACAGAGTCGATTAATTGTATAAGAATTGTTAGAATGGAAAACATGGAACAAGTTTATGCTTGCTTTCAAAAACTGTATAAGATGTTAAAATGTAATAATGGTTCATGCTTATAGGTTGTATGTTATGTATCAAAATGCTAAATCCTCGTTGTCTCATAAATAAATACTTGTAAACTGGCTCTAGCAGCCAGCAATGTCATTCTTGGAGAAGTCTATTTAGAACATTTTATTGAAGTAGCAAGAATTCACAGCACCCGAGAAGAATAAATGGTGGTGACCCAACTATCTTTTCCTAGCAATACAGAAATAGTAATAAAAAAAAAAATCCACTTGAATTGAATCCTTCCTAAATTATGGGAATAATATGGCAAAGCAACCTATTAAAGTTGTGTATTTTTAAAGATTAAAGATTAAAGATTTCTATTTTATTTCTAGAGGAACAAAAGAATAAATGCTCTAATTTTATGTTGGAGTAGTTTCACTTTGCATCTAAAAGACACTGATAGCCCAACTCAGATTGTCCACATAGCCAAATTCCTTCAGACTCATGTATGTAAAAGATTTGTGGTACAAAAGACAAAAGAAACAGAAGAAATACCATTTTTTACTGTTCATATTACTTTGAGAGAGAAACCTTGAAATAGGTGCCTTACTACTTTCAGTGGACATTTCATCCATATGCAGGACAGCAAAGGTCTCTTGATTTCAAAGACTCACATTAAATACTGTTTTCCTGTTAGAAGGTAGAAGCTAACTGAATGTAGAGAAATCTGTCATTAGTTTTTGTCCGTATCGTGAAGCCTCAGCCCTCTGCAAGCTGAGAGAGAGGAGGGGAAGCTAATGGGGCTTGAAACTTCAGTCAGGGAAGAACATAAATTCTTATGTTGCGGCTGTTTTTAAAATGTACTTAAATTCCATATGACATTGTTTTGTGAGGTGCTTTTTATGTTAACAGGCACATATGAGTATGGACTGAAAGCAGTTAGCACTGCTTTTTCTTCTTCTTTTTTTTTTTTTTTTTTTTTTTTTTTTTTTTTTGAACACTTGCATTTATTTTAACTTTCGAAGATGTTTATTTCCCTGTTTCCATGAAAACCCTCTGGTATTGGAGTGATAACTTTAATACTTTGCTATTTAAAATTAATTAAAAAATGTGGGGACTCATTTAAATCAAGGTACTGGTTTTATTATCATTTTAAATTTGAGAAGTCAGTGCCTCTTACTTCAGAAGGGATGTAATTACTGTTCTGAGGGCCGATGATCAATGCAAGTTGTTGGGCCTGGCTTTGGGAACCCTACTTGTCATCTGCAGAGTATAAAATATGATTAGGTGGTTATATTATGTGATTTGTTTCCCAATGTATGTATTGAGTGTTAATCTGATATCCCAGTCGGCCACACGATGCCTTTGAAATGTCACCACACAAAGCCGGGTGTTCCTGTGGTCTCCATTGTACCATCAAGGATGTTGGTTCTGAAGGAAAAGCCTTCCTAGTTAAAACACTTGTCGTTACGTGTAGAAGTGTAGCCAGTAAATAGATGCGCTGCTGTTAACTGGAGATCACACTCCAAAACCAGGCAGTTTGCAGTTCGACATTTCTTGCAGATTTTTCCCTCATTACATCTAGGATGTGCAGATAACATACTGCATATCCCCACGGCTGTGAATAAGAGATATTTGTGTTTCAGAATTTGTAAGGTGTTATTAGAATATAATGAAAATATCTTCATAATATTGTATCATATACTTGTTAATATGTAACAATATTAATATTGTGTAGTGTGTAAGAACATATCTCAGAGTATCTAGTAAGGACTCAGAATTCGTAAGATATTATTTGATAATACAAATTCACTGTATTAAATGTTCATACCTGATCTCCTTTGCTCTACAGATGTTCCTGAAAGTGAAAGACCTCCAAGTCTAAATAAAATGTTTCCACAGCATATACTTTTAAGGCTTTTGTAAAAAGAAAATAACAGCTTTTTAATTTACAATCCACTAAGTTGAAAACTGGAGTGTTTTGTGGCATGCGTTTTTAGTTACATTGTAACATGCATTTTCAGTTTTCAGCATTGCTAAGTTGATATTGTCATGCTTATGTTAAATAGCATACTCGAGAGAAATTGTTATATAGAATGCCAAAATATGTTGCTGTCTTCGTTGCAATGCATACAACATATGACGACTTTTTATTACTGTATGCCGCACAGTTCATAAGACTTCCAGTGCTGAAAATACAGTGTATCTGGTCAAATATGGATAAAAGTGCATTTTTTTTTAGTCTAATGTAAAAAAAAAAAAAAAAAAAAAAAAAGCTTTTATTGCTTTCAAGAACAAGCAGAGGCAACCCTAAATCTGGGCAAGCACTTGTTGGTCCCAGTCCTCTGTAAGGGCAATAGTAAACACGAATGACTCATATAGTGACATTTAATTACATCGCTTTTTTTGAGTCCTGTCCTGCACAATAGA